AAATCTTCACATGTTGGAGATTTCTTTTTTTACAAAAATAATATTTATTCTTAATTTTACTTATATATATATATATATATATATATTTAATAACAATTTTAAGCCTTTTTAAAAATTATTTTGGCATTATGTACATGAACATTTCTAAAATAAAATAATCATATCACATGAATATGAAATATGAAAATCATCTTGTCTGGATGCATTAAAATCAGCATGAATCAATTCATAGCACTACAAGCTCTAATTTAAAATTATTATTTATTACAATAAAAACTACTATGTATACTAGTAATAAAATAACTTCATCCCACTCCTTTTCAAGCAGCGGTGAACTTTTATTTGTTTGATCATCAGTGTTTTTTTCGATTATTGTCTTATGTTGTACATATTGTACACTTTTTCATTGTATGCTTGAAATAAAAAAAATAACTCTTTGCTCAAATAAATAAGCATATGTTTAAGATTAATACAGTCAGCTGTTTTCTAAACAAGACCACACACACACACACACACACATTCTTAACTAATAGTCATAAACGCTGAAACAAATGAGGGAAGTGAAGTAAATAATGCCTGACACGAGGGACAGAATCAGGATTTATCCAAAAGAAGGCAGCATTACATCGTCATCCTCCGTCAAAGTGCCTTACAATACTGTCTACCACATTTGGAATCGCAAAGCCAAAAATACATAGTGCACTGCATATTAAACTCACACTCAAAACAGGGCTCGGCATAATCAAACGAACCGCCCGATTGTTTGCAATTCAAATGCATCGTGTGCAAATTTAAAACACATTACCCCCCTCACTCTGCATCACGCCCCACGGCCCTGCACACTTCCACAGTCTCTAAGTGTCTCGTCGGGGTGATCTAAAAATATCCATGGTGTAACAAAGGTACAAGTATTTGACCTTTAACTGGCGTATGCAAATGAAATCATGCAGGAAAGATCAGGTCACAGTATTCGAGCGACGCCACACATCTGCAGTGTTTCTGAAACGCTCGTCAGTGATTCTCTCCTCAAGGCAGCGAGGATGGAAAAGCCCTGGTACTCGTCCAGCCTCAATCCCCCAGTTCACATTTGCATGTGTTAATCGCTGTGGTGAAACTCTCTGCATTTGCTTCCATCTGTACCGAACCCTCTGTTATGCAATATCAATATCTCATGAACAGGCCCAGATGCAATCCGCACACTTATATTACAGCACTGCACACTGTCTAGACTCGAGACGGAGGAACTCGCGCAGACTTTGCACTTGCTAGGTGAAAAATTAGAATATGTTGATGATTATGGCTCACAGCTTATGAAAACCCCAAATTCAAACTTAGAATATTGTGAAGTTTTCATAAGCTGTAAGCCATAATCATCAAAATTATAACAAATAAAGGCTTGAAATATCTCACTTTGCATGTAATGAGTCTATATGATATATTAGTGTCACCTTTTAAGTTGAATTACTGAAATAAATGAACTCGAGTTTCATCTGTAGCATATTTTCTATGGGTGAAAACCTGCAGAATGGATTTAAACATGCATAAATCTCAGTCAGATTTTTCTTTAGTTCTCTATATCAGCAAGGACGCATTAAATTGATCAAAAGTGACCGTTAAATGCATTTATAATGTTACAAAAGATTTCGATTTCAAATAAATGCTGTACTTTTGAACTTTCAATATATCGTTGAATCCTGAAAATGAAAATGTATCACGGTTTCCACAAAAATATGGACTGCTTTCAACATTGATAATAATCATAAATGTTTTTTGAGCATCAGATCATCATATTAGAGTGATTTCTGAAGGATCATGTGACACTGAAGACTGGAGTAATGATGCTGAAAATTCAGCTTTGATCACAGGAATAAATGACACTTTACTGTATATTCACATAGAGAACAGCTGATTTACATTGTAAAAATATTTTACAAAACATTTGAAACTGAACGCACATCTGTACTGTATCAGTGTAGACAGCATCAGTGATTATAATCACATCCAGTGTACGTAAATATCAGCCGTTACGCGACTGAACGCCAGTGGGCGGGGCCTGTGGTGTGATGATGTATAACTATTGGTCGATGTCTTGCTCTGGAGGCGGGCATATGCAAATGTTTTTGCCAGTGTGATGTCACAGATCCTGCAATATCAAAACAAGACGTTTTTGGAGCTTGATTAAATAAATACTTCATTTATAATAAGGACATTGTACGCTATGAAACTTACAGGGTGTTTAAATAGTACAAAGACCTCTTAAATGTCCAAAGATCAAGGCAAATTATGATTTCTCATGTCATGATCGTTTTAGAGGATCTGTGATATAAACACAAACACTCACATCTCACATTTGGGGCTTTGCAGGAACTGGTGAGTTATTGAGATCAATTACCCATGAGCCACTGGGCAAAACAATTCAAACCCAGACGCTCACGGGGCAATTATTGCACATGAAGACTTTGATTAAAAAAACGCCCACTAAATAATAAATACATCACAGGTCTTTCCAATAAAAGATTAATTAATTATGTAGGTATGCATCCAAATCACAAGAAATTATTTTAATGACTTTATCAATTTGTATTTCTCACATCATTTTGATCAGCATGGACGAGTTTCAAACAGAGTTCATGAGTTAATCAGAGCAAATATGACCCTCAGCAATAATAACACAGGTTATGACAGCGGTGCTTTATGAAGCATGTCTGACACGAGCGTTGAGAGACAGCAGCCAATATAAACACGCAATTACCTGAACAAAAGGTGCGTCCCAAATCGCATACATGTGCACTATTCGACTCGCCTGAGCTTAGCTCCGCCCACAACACCTGAGGATGGGAAGTTCGGTCTGGACTTGATCCGTTGGGAAGCAAGTATACCTGAACCAGAGCTGTTCGGACCAATCACATTGTCAGGGCGGGGTTTATACGATGATGGACAGATGATCAACAGTAACGTCATCATCACGTCACCAAAGAGCGCTTGGGTTGAGTTCGTTTACAACAAAGATGGCCGCCGCTGGAGAACTGAGATCATCGCGTCTGTTATAGAAGATGTACAGCGCATTCGTTTTAAAAGAGGAACAGAACCGCAATCAAGGCATTTTCCGATCGGAAAGATGTTTTGCCGTCCTTCCTACGGGATTCGGTCGATCCAATCGAGTGCAGAGGCGTTTTCTTTCCTGGTTCGGTTGAAACGCCCCATAATCACAGCATCAGACTCACATGCTGACTAGCATATGAGTATGGCGACGTCAGGCTACTATTCTACGCCATTTTGTAGTATAAATATTGTGAGGAGTGCGTTCACACTGAAAATGCGTTCACAAAAAGAAAAAGTGCACTTTAACTACCCTGATGATGCACTTATTTAACGGGAAAAACTAAGTGTGGAGCGTTTATTCTGCGTTCTCTTTGACTCCGCTGGATCCGAAGTGCTGTCTGTACTTTGTTACTGCTATGCTGTGATAAACTTAAAGCGATAGTTCACCTAAAGGGATTTACTCACCCTGAAGCCAGTTATTTTAGTCGATAAAGTTTTAAATATGGATATTTTTCTTACACGAACGCATCGCTTCAGAAGGCCTTTATAAACCCGCCAGAGCCGGTCAAGCACTTTTATCATGGATGGATGCGCTTTGATGGACTTCCAAAAAAATATACCCATTGACTCCCATTATAAAGGACATTTTTTAATATAACTCTGATTGTGTTCGTCTTAAAGCAGAATGTCAGGTACTTTCCTGTTATCCGGACCCCACGATGGCCTACCCCTAACCCCGCCCCTAAACCTACCCGTCACTGGGGTAGACCAATCAGGGACGATGGCCTACCCCTAACCCCGCCCCTAAACCTACCCGTCACTGGGGTAGACCAATCAGGGACGATGGCCTACCCCTAACCCCGCCCCTAAACCTACCCGTCACTGGGGTAGACCAATCAGGGACGATGGCCTACCCCTAACCCCGCCCCTAAACCTACCCGTCACTGGGGTAGACCAATCAGGGACGATGGCCTACCCCTAACCCCGCCCCTAAACCTACCCGTCACTGGGGTAGACCAATCAGGGACGATGGCCTACCCCTAACCCCGCCCCTAAACCTACCCGTCACTGGGGTTAAGACCAATCAGGGACGATGGCCTACCCCTAACCCCGCCCCTAAACCTACCCGTCACTGGGGTTAAGACCAATCAGGGACGATGGCCTACCCCTAACCCCGCCCCTAAACCTACCCGTCACTGGGGTTAAGACCAATCAAGGACGATGGCCTACCCCTAACCCCGCCCCTAAACCTACCCGTCACTGGGGTTAAGACCAATCAAGGACGATGGCCTACCCCTAACCCCGCCCCTAAACCTACCCGTCACTGGGGTTAAGACCAATCAGGGACGATGGCCTACCCCTAACCCCGCCCATGGTATATGGTGGGGTCCGGATAACAGGAAAGTACCGAATGTCATATACACCTAGAATGACTTCAGGGTGAGTAAATCATGGGCTAATTTTAATTTTTGGGTGAACTGTCCCTTTAACTTTTGAGATCTTCGACATCCACATCATCTTTTCTTACAGTGTATAAGTGTATAGTGTACGGGTGAAACTCGAAAAATTAGAATATCGTGCAAAAGTTCATTTATTTCAGTAATTCAACTTAAAAGGTGAAACTAATATATCATATAGACTCATTACATGCAAAGTGAGATATTTCAAGCCTTTATTTGTTATAATTTTGATGATTATGGCTTACAGCTTATAAAAACTTTTCACAATATTCTAGTTTTGACTTTGGGGTTTTCATAAGCTGTAAGCCATTAATCATCAACATTATAACAAATAAAGGCTTGAAATATCTCACTTTGCATGTAATGAGCCTATATAATATATTAGTTTCACCTTTTAAGTTGAATTACTGAAATAAATGAACTTTTGCACCATATTCTAATTTTTCGAGTGTCACCTGTATAGCGCATCATTTGGGACACAGGTAAAGAAACACTTACCACGAGGTTCCCGATAACCATGACCAGCATGAAGACCAGAATACAGAGCGGCTGACCGGCCACTTCCATACAATCCCACATGGTCTCGATCCACTCTCCACACAAGACCCGAAACACGATGAGGAACGAGTGGAAGAAGTCCTTCATGTGCCAGCGGGGCAGCGTACAGTCCTTGGAGATCTTGCACACACACGACTCGTAGTTCTTCCCGAACAGTTGCATGCCGACCACGGCGAAGATGAAGACGATGATGGCCAGAACCAGCGTCAGATTCCCCAGAGCGCCCACAGAGTTCCCGATGATCTTGATCAGCGTGTTCAGAGTCGGCCACGACTTCGCCAGCTTGAAGACCCTCAGCTGAAGGAGAAGCGAAGAGTCGTTTAGCAAACAGAACAAACGAACGCGAGTTAGAAACAGCCGCACGATTCTGGATAAACTGAGAATCACGATTTCTTTTGGTTTCAAACTGAGATCGCGATTCTGAACAGACAACTAGACAAAATAACATGTAATTTACTAGAGGTTCTGAGAATTTTTAATTATTGCAGTCTATTTAAAATGTTTAATGAATCTGAATATTTTTTTTTAAATGGGTTGAGTGAATGATTCAACGACTCACTTATAAAGTACTTCATTGTTTCATTACTAAATGAATCAGCATTTTTTTAACAAATCTTTTGAATGAATGATTCAACGCCAAATACTTTTTTTAACAGTCACTTGTCGCCCCCTACTGGTGTAACGATGCAATGATACAATCGTTATTTGATGCGCCAAGTTACTTTCAAAAGGTGATTTGCTCAATTTCGATCGCTTTCGTAAACATACAGTAAACTATCAACTTTTATCCAAGTTCTTCTGTGATAATATGAATATTTGTTACACAGAAATAACGAAACTGTGATTGAAAAGATTGTTTGTGAAGCTGTTTCATACCTTTACAGGTGAAACTCAAAAACTTAGAGTATCGTGCAAAAGTTCATTTATTTCAGTAATTCAACTTAAAAGGTGAAACTAATATATTATATAGACTCATTACATGCAAAGTGAGATATTTCAAGCCTTTATTCGTTATAATGTTGATGATTATGGATTACAGCTTATGAAAACTTTTCACAATATTCTAATTTTGACTTTGAGGTTTTCATAAGCTGTGAACCATAATCATCAAAATTATAACAAATAAAGGCTTGAAATATCTCACTTTGCATGTACGTTGTAACTTTTACACGATATTCTAATTTTTCGAGTTTCACCCGTACATGACAACTGCTCTCAGCGCCAACACACACGTGAACCGTTGTCATTTAGGAATGAGATGAAGTGTGTGTTTGAATCGAGATCCCGATGGTTTAGCGGTGAATCGTGCAGCTCTAGATAAAAGCGTGTTTACCAGTCTGAATGAGCGCAGGACGGAGAGACCCTCCACGTTGGACAGACCCAACTCCATGAGACTCAGACTCACGATGAGGCTGTCGAAGATGTTCCAGCCCTGCTGAAAGTAGAAGTACGGGTCGAGAGCGATGATCTTCAACACCATCTCAGCGGTGAAGATTCCCGTGAACACCTGACAACAACACCACGTGAAACAAGTCGCTTTATGCTCCGAAACAATGAACTTTGTTTACGTTTATGCATGTGGAAGTTGTTACACTTTCTGGAAATCAAACCCAGTCGAACTGTTTGAGCTACAAGAATCATAATATTGATATGCATCTTTACATAAATAAATATATACATGTGAATGTGTAAACAATTAGTGCTGTCAAATCGATTAATCGTATCTAACATAAAAGTTTGTAAATATATAATGTGTGTGCGTGTGTGTATATATTAGTGCTGTCAAGCGATTAAATAATTTAAATCACGATTAATCACATTAATGTCGTAGTTAACTCACGATTAATCGCACATTTTTATCTATTCTAAATGTCTCTTGATTTCTTTTTGTCCCATTATTTTTTTCTCATTTTAATGCTCTTATCAACATGGAAAAGTGGATCGGCTTGCTTTGTGCAAATGTTTTTTATTGAAAACAACATCGGCATATACTGTGTTCAATTTCACACTAACATTCTCACTTGGAGCAAATAATCTCTCACACAATGTAACACTGTCCATCAATAAAAGGGTGAAAGAAATACTGACGAGGTCCTGATATTGACGAGGGGGCGGAGAATTCGCATCAGCTGTGTGTGTGTGTGTGTGTGTGTGTGTGCTTGGCCATCATCAAGTGGTGTTTCAGACTGGACGTGCTGCGATGATGATAGCTCAGTTCACAACGACAAAACACACAGATCACTTTGGTCTCGTCAATGGAACCATTTGGCAACTTTTTAAAAGTAAACTTTCCATTCAGAATCTTATTGGCATCCATTTCAGCGTCTCGCGCTCGTCACCCACTCAAAACGTAACGTTAACCAACTATTTGGCCGGCTCGCAAGCCCAAACGAGTGTGTGCGGCGTCGGGCCTGTTGTTTTGTTTCCGGTCTAGCTAGATCCGCTTGCGCTTTCAAAGCGTCCTCGCGCGGCGCAAGCCATTGAAATGAATGGGTTTCATAGCGCAGCGCCGCGTCTGTTGCAAAAGCATTGGAAAAAAGCTGCAAAGTTTGCTAGGCCAAAAAGACGCCGTTAAAATGGGTTTGCGTTAACGCCGTTAATAACGCGTTTAACTGACAGCCCTAGAATATATATATATATATATATAATGTATATATATACATACACACACATATATATAAACAAACATTTATGTAAGATGCGATTAATCGATTTGACATCACTAGTATAAATGTAAATAAATGAATGCATAAACAATAAATAAATACACATGTCAATGTATAAATTAATGTATAGATGTAAATGAATGTATTTAAACATGTGAACTTGAATTAATGCATTTACATTCGTTTCTACAGATGTAGATTTGCTTGAAAAACTGTAAATATTTATTGTGATTTTCTTCGTTGTGAATATTACATTGCTGCAAAACTCTAGGATATGATCTATTAATGTAGTACTGAATTTTTTTCTTTAAATTGTATTTATTACTTATTTTTTATGTATTTCTGAGTAGTATACTATGATTGGCAGCTGAAAGCATAATTAAATTAGCCAATATGTATATAAATATAAAACAGGCGTGCAAGGGGCGGGGCATGTGTAGAACTTTGTGATTGACAGGCGGTTCGATCCTGTAGAACCCTGAGATATATACAGGTGTGTGTGTGTGTGTGTGTGTGTGTGTGTACAACAGGTCTGCTGCTTGCTTCAGCTCTTTTATATATGAAAGTTGCTCTGTTTCTTGTATCTTGTATGTGCACGTGTGGATGTGACTATGATACGTGACCCGGCAGCAGGAGGAGTCACACACACACACACACACACACACACACTGTGAAGATGAACAGACCAGAACATCGTCTCTGGTTCTGCCTCACGTCCCGTAATGAACGCTTTCATCTGAACAATAAACAGAGATCTGGAAAGACATCTTCATCCTCTCTGAGAGTGAATCTCATGAAAACACGACCAAAACAATTAAAAAAATATATATATATTATTATATGAATGATCAAGTCACGAGGCAAAAATGATGTATTATGTAATAAACATCAATTAAAGCACATTTTTTGTGTGTTGAACCTGGACATTTTTATAATTCTCTTTATTATAATGTAGTATTTTTACTGTATAACTGTAAAAATGTTAGAAATACAAATTAGTATTTGTTTATTAAAATCCGCATAATTTAAACACATCGCAATAAATAGTACTATTATGTAGTAATATAAATACTTTAATTAAAATAATATTAAAAAAGAATGAATTTTAATTTTTTAAAAATGGGGTTAAAGTGCCTAATAGCTGATTATTACAAAATTGCTTTGTTCATTTAAATACATAAATTGAGATAAAAATATAAGAAAAAATAGAAATGTTGCCTTTAAATTATTTTATTTCAGCTGCTTTTAACTAGTCTGACTTTAGATTTGGGGGTAAAACGTGATCTTCCAATGAGATTCACCCTCGAGGAGATTTATTTTCCAGTCTATAGTGAGTCATTTTCATATCGCTGATGATGAGATGTTGGTGAGCATAACAGATTCATACAGACGCATCATCATCATCATCATCATCATCATCGCTGACAGCCCTGCGCCGGCATCTCTCCCAGACACACACACGATACACACCTTCCACACACACATCAACATCTCCGTGAAGCGGTTAACTCGTCCTCATCCCTGACACGCGCACACACTCCCAAACATGCTGGCTTGCTTTAACCCAATTTTGGGTCAAATATGGACAAACAGTGGGTTAAAAATCTCCCCTTATCTGTGAGAACGTCAAATTATGTTTATGAATTTAAATCTAAATTTGAATTTTTTTTGTGTGTTTTTTTTACTTTGGCTTTTTAAACTTTGTATGTTAAATTTGCCTATTTTATTTTGTATTGTTTCTTTTTATTTTTTGTTTGTTTTCTTTCATTGTTTTATCTAATTTGTAGCATTATGGTTCAACTGCTGTTGTGTTTATCGCTGCTTAATAAATACACGAATGAATGAAAATGTAGTTAATAAATTTAACCCTGGGTTAGGTTAGGCTGGGTTAGTCCATATTTGGCCCAAAGTTGGGTTGAAACAACAGGAGTTTTTCGAGTGTACTGAACGCGAAGCCAGGAGGTGTTGGGTCATTTCTGAAGCCGGAACTGAATGTGTTCAGAGTGACGGACACACACCGACGACGAGATGCAATCGGACGTCAGGAAATGACATCATCATCGTGTCTGTTCAGACAGCTGACACAGGAAATGACATCATCATCGTGTCTGTTGAGACAGCTGACACAGGAAATGACATCATCATCGTGTCTGTTGAGACAGCTGACACTTCTGAAACTAACAATCAAACAGCGTGCTCTGGACACAGCGAACAACAGACAATAGAAATATAGAAGAAATTGTGTATAATATAATATAACATAACAATATACTGTAGTAAAATATAATAAAACATAATACAATATAATATAGTCATTAATATAATTTATGAGTCATTAAGTGATTATATAATTAAAATACGCTGAAAAAGCGTGGAGGGCATGACAAATGTATATTTTTTATGTACATTATACTATATTTTATACAATATTATATAATATTATATAATATAATATAAGAAAAATAAATAAACTAAAATTAAACAAAAGTACTAAAATTACTGAAGTTGAAATAAAAATAAATTAAAGCTAAATAGAATTTATATCGATATAATTTCCAAACCATCTGATCTTTATAGCTCTGTAATTTTATCACATGAAAACTAATAATCCCTTTTATTCCTCCAAAAGGAGTTTTAGGAGCTAAATCTGATGAAAGCTGAGCTGTACATCCAGACTCCTGAGCAATGAAGGAGAAACGAATGTTTGTGGAGCGTCTCTCCACCCGTCAGTGTGAGTTTCTCCATCTAACACAGATTACAAACAACACGTGACCTCTGACCTCCGGCCGAGCGCAGCGAGACACGCTAACACACGCGTGACTCACGCCTGTCTGCCTCTCTCTCACACACACACACACACTCTCTCTCAAAGCAACAAATGCTGCGTAAGCCAAACATGCAACAGTTCACAGTCCGTACAGGAGATGTTGACACAACAAATCAAATCTCATGTCTTTGCCACAGATAAGAAAACTTTTAAATAACCTTTATAAATATATAATAAATAACGTTTTTTTATTCAATTTAATTTATTAAAATAAATAAAAAAATTAAATGCATTTAATTTTTATTTTTATTTTAATAAAATAAAAAATAGAATTAAAAAACGTTATTTATTATATATTTATAAAGGTAATATAATATAATATAATATAATATAATATAATATAATGAAAAATAATATAATATATTATAATATACACGGACACGTTGTATATTATATCATGTTAACATGATGTAATACTTTTTGGACACTAAGACAGCATTGTTGTATCTTGTTCCATCAGTAAATCATCAGTAAATCATCAGTAAATCATCAGTAAATCATCAGTGATTCATCGGTGAATCATCGGTGAATCATCAGTAAATCATCAGTGAATCATCAGTGAATCATCGGTGAATCATCAGCGAATCATCAGCGAATAATCTGTGAATCATCGGCGAATCATCGGTGAATCATCGGTGAATCATCAGTGAATCATCGGTGAATCATCAGTGAATCATCAGTGAATCATCGGCGAATCATCGGTGAATCATCGGCGAATAATCGGTGAATCATCGGTGAATCATCAGCGAATCATCAGCGAATCATCAGCGAATAATCTGTGAATCATCGGCGAATCATCGGTGAATCATCGGTGAATCATCAGTGAATCATCGGTGAATCATCAGTGAATCATCAGTGAATCATCGGCGAATCATCGGTGAATCATTGGTGAATCATCGGTGAATCATCGGTGAATCATCGGTGAATCATCAGCGATTCATCAGTGAATCATCAGCGATTCATCAGTGAATCATCAGCGAATCATCGGCGAATCGTCAGTGAATCGTCAGTGAATGATCAGTGAATCGTCAGTGAATCGTCAGTGAATCATCAGTGAATCGTCAGTGAATCGTCAGTGAATCATCAGTGAATCATAAATCCTCAGTAAATCAGTGGTGCTCACCAGGTTCCCCACAGACAGCATGCGGTTGAACTCATCCGTCATGGGATAGTGTTCGAGAGCCATGAAGAGTGTGTTGAGGACGATGCAGATAGTGATGGCCAGATCCAGGAAGGGGTCCATGACCATGATCTTCACCCACTCCTTCAGCTTCATCCAGCGAGGGCAGCACGTCCACACCAGGTACTTGTGTGCGAACGCGTACCAACACGGGTGGCACTTCTGCTGCGCCTCCTCCAGCTCTGAGACACCAAACACACAACATTACAGCTCATTCGGCTATATGGAATGTAATATAGATTATGTATAAATATATATACAGTATATACATGCAAAAATGTCCTAAATATATACATGGATATGTGTGTATTTATATATACAAAATTATTATACACAGTACACACACATATATTATGTAAACACAAATGTTTATTTTGGATGCGATTAATCGTTGCCCAGCACTAATTCAGAGAGATTACTCTGAGTATTAATAGTGTTAAATCACCAGTAAGAAACTTAAAAAGGTTGCTCTGTTGCATCAGAACACACACACAATCCTTTGTGGCTCTTATTAAAACCAAGTGCTTACAACTTTAAGGTGCTTTTCAGCCATTTTACTAACTTCAACCATTTTGTACAAATCCAACTCCTAAACCCCGCCCCCCAAAAACATGTCAGCCAATCCGATGTCAGCAAACCTGAGAGTGCACAATGATTGACAGGCATCTAGTGTTCGTGATCATGGTCAGATAGTTTAATGTGATTTCTAATTTTCAATGATTTCTGTCAGGTAAGAGGGATTTTATACATGATATTAATGCACTAAAGTGTACTATAATAAAAGGATGGATTGTTTACCTGTTTGGGTGAATAAATTAAATAAAAAAATTACGTAAATGAAGCAATAAGGCCTCATCTCACAGTCTATGTAGCTATCTGACTGTAAATAAAAGATGTTTTTGGCAATGCTATTCAAATGTTAAAAGCCAAAAATCTGCATTAGAGCAGATTTAGACAATGCAAACATAATGTATATTAATGTGGCTTGTAGCACCACATGAAAAGGTCACAGTGAAAGGTTAGCATGTTGTTTTTCTACCCTACTGAGGTCGAATCACACTTGATACGCGCGGATGTGTGTTTCGGAGGAACCTGTAAGTGTTCTAATGAGAAATGAGACAGAGACGGACACTTTGTGGGTCTAGATTTGGCTCTGCGTCAGTAATGTGCCAGTAACTCGTGCGATGAGAAGCTGAGATGGTGTGATGCTCCACAGCGGGTTCATTCGACCTGTCAGGCTTTATTTCATCCTCCACAAGAGAAACTGACTAACAAACAGACCTTCAGTTTACACCCTCTTCCCCTTTACACAGCAGGAGCCAAGCTGAGCACGACATGTGTAACATTGTGTTTTTGTATTAATGTTGCATTATGAGAATTGTTATTATTTTTTTGCTTGATTTAATTAAATTATAAAAAATATTTTTTTAAATAATTTTTTCAAATAATTCAGGATAAATTGTATATTAATTTAAATTATAAGAAATAAATAACTGTTTTAAAAAAATAAGTTAATTGATTAAAATTGTATTTATATATTTTAATTCTAAAAACAAATAATTTCTTTTTAAATAATTCAAAATAAATCAATTTGTTTTTTATTTAAATTATAAAAAATAAAGAATTATTTTAATTAAATAATTAGTTAAAATTATTTTAATTAAATAACTTAATTTAATATTTTAATTATTATAGAAATATAAAAAATATAAAAAAGGTTGAATTAATTGTATTTATTTATTTATTAGTACTATTATTCAGTGTTTATTTATTATTATATTAGGCATTTATTTATATATGCACAACATGTACAAATAAAAATATATACTATTATTATTATTATAAAATCACAGATTTTATTTGTTTATTTGTGTACATTAATTTACTTCTGTCATAACAAATAGTCCATGCGAATAAAATTCAGGCCCTGAACAATAAAAACATGGTGAAAACTATGATAACCATGGTACATTTTTATAAAGGGTGCGACTGAGTATTTTTGCAATATGGCTAATCCAGTGTCATCATATAAATCAGTAAGTGGAAGCTAGCAATCTATCATACACGTATGTAAGCATCATCTGACATAACGTGCTCATTACAGTAAATTTGGCCTGCTGCTGTCCTGCCGTGTCAGCTTTCACATGCGTGATAATGAGGATTGGCATTTTCTTACGCTAGCAGGTCTAAACTCAGACCCTGTGAGCTCAGGCCTTCTTCTGTTAGCAACTTTTGTGCTGACCAATCAAGAGTCCAGAAAAGACTCAAAAATATGGGCCATTTTTGTTCATAAATGACATTTCATGAGCAGTGGTGTCCTCTAGTCAGGAGAGCACACTAGCCATACGATACAAAACAGACTTTTGAGGAAGTATCCTATCCTGAAAAAAAAATACCACTCAGGTTTAAGACTCGTTCACATCAAGGATAATAACTATAGTGATAACTATATTTGTGTCTATATAGCGGCATTGTCGACTCGTGGAGTTTCCCAATCTTTCCTGACCTTTGCTGTCTGCAAAAACTCTATAAATAACTAAAATATAACTAAAAATCTCAATAAATCTTAACTATATGTGTCTACATCGACAGATGATATTGTGCTGTTTTTTCTAAGCGCGCTACAATTTTGTCGTCTGTCACTTTAAATTCTCAAGCTCGTTAAAGTCAGATGGATTCTGATTGGCTGTCAATGTTTTTATCGTTCATCAGCTGCCAAAAATCGCTATGAAAGTGATATCGCTCTGTTCTGTTTATTTTAAGTTTGCTTCAATTTTGTCGTCTGTCACTTTAAATGTTTGCGCTCGTTAAAGTCAGGAAGATTCTGATTGGCTAACAACGTTTCCATCGTTCATCACCTGAAAATAAAATCGCTATGAAAGTGACATCGCTCTGTCTATTCAAAGCCCGCCACAATTTTGTCGTCTGTCACTTTAAATGTTAACGCTCGTTAAAGTCAGGAGGATTCTGATTGGCTGACAACGTTTTTATCGTTCATCATCTGGGAAGAAAATCACAATGACAGTGATATAATTCTGTTCTTTTTATTCTAAGTTCGCTGCAATTTTGCCGCTTTAAATGCTCGAGCTCGTTCCCAGCAGGAACATCGCAAACAATGAAAATAAATGTATCACTTGTATTAGTTTCTATATAAACTTCTACAGGTGGTCTATTCATTCGTGTCCTAAAACACTCTCCTGATAGGCGTAACAGATTTGAAACTGCGAGGACGTTCTGTAACGTTATCATTTATCGTCTGAAACGCTCAGGGAAGAGTCGGTCCTCTTGTGCCGGCCAGGTGATGTCCCAGTCTGGAGCATCAGTGGGAGGGTTACACCTTTCCACTGAATAACAACAGCGAGTACGTCTCGGGGGACGACATTAACCACGAGCAGATGGAGACACTTCTCCTGGCCTCGCACGCACCTCGCAGAAAAAGACTTACACACTTATTTTATGTGCATATGGAGTGTTTTCAGGGCTCATATCTCATCGCTGGCTCGTTTGCGATCGGTGTTGGTTTGTTGTTGTTGTGTAGCTGTCTTACCTTCCATGGCGTCAGTGATGTAGCTGGTGGCGCTCAGGGCCCGGTCCCGGCCCTCCTGGGGCAGCTGGGGCAACAGCATGCTGCTCAGCTCATTGGTGGAGTTGTGCCCCTGTAAGACCAGAACATGCACATAAATGCCTTCATAATGCAATAAACAAGGGCAGACTTTTAGAACTCAGTGGTTTCTCTTTCACTTATATTTATTTTATAATAATATGTATTACAATGGAGGTTTACAAAAACAAAAGGTTGGTTTGAGGTTGCAAGGGTGTCAGGGTGGTTGCTAGGGTGTCAGGGTGGTTGCTAGGGTGTCAGGGTGGTGGCTAGGGTGTTGTTTAGGGCATTTTTAGTATCCCTGTGCAGTTGTTAAGTGTTTTAATGCTTTTAAGCACAGTTTTACAAAAACAAATGGTTGGTTTGAGGTTGCAAGGGTGTCAGGGTGGTTGCTAGGGTGTTGCTTAGGGCATTTGTAGTATCCCTGTGCAGTTGTTAAGTGTTTAATGCTCTTAAGCACAGTTTTACAAAAACAAAAGGTTGGTTTGAGGTTGCAAGGGTATCAGGGTGGTTGCTAGGGTGTCAGAGTGGTTGCTAGGGTGTTGCTTACGGCATTTGTAGTATCCCAAGTTGGCAACTCCATAGTAATGTCCATAAAATCACTCAGAACAGGTAGCAAATGCACAGCAACACTAGCAATGCCCTTGCAATGGCAAAAACAACACCCTAGCAACCATCCAGTCACCCTAGAAACCACATAGCTGTTTGTCTAAAATTGTTCAGAACAATCAACTGCAAAGCAACACTAGCAGTGCCCTTGAATCATAACCACATAACAACACCCTAGCAACCAACCAGTCCCCCTAGAAACAAACCACATAGCTGTTTGTCTCATTCAGAACACTTAGCAACTGCACAGCCACACTAACATTCTCAATAGCCCACAACACCGTAGTAACCACATAGCAACTCCCTAGCAACCACCCATACACCCCAGCAGCCACATTACTATTTGTCTAACATTGTTCAGAACACTTAGAAACTGCAAAGCAACACTAGCAGTGCCCTTGGAATCACAACCACATAGCAACACCCTAGCAACCATCCAGTCACCTTAGAAAACACATAGCTGTTTGTCTAAAATCATTCAGAACACTTAGCAACTGCACAGCCACACTAGCAATCTCAATGTCCCGCAACACCGTAGTAACCACGTAGCAACGCCCTAGCAACCACCCAGTCATCCTAGAAACCACATAGCTGTTTGTCTAAAATCATTCAGAACACTTAGCAACTGCACAGCCACACTAGCAATCTCAATGTCCCGCAACACCGTAGTAACCACGTAGCAACGCCCTAGCAACCACCCAGTCATCCTAGAAACCACATAGCTGTTTGTCTAAAATCATTCAGAACACTTAGCAACTGCACAGCCACACTAGCAATCTCAATGTCCCGCAACACCGTAGTAACCACATAGCAACGCCCTAGCAACCACCCAGTTTGTCTAAAATCGTTCAGAACACTTATCAACTGCACAGCTCTAGCAGTGTACCTTGGAATCACAACCACATAGTAACACCCTAGCAACCACCCAGTCACCCTAGAAACCACATAGCTGTTTGTCTAAATTTGTTCAGAACACTTAGCAACTGCACATCAACACAAGAAATGCCCTTAGAACTTAAAATCATTCAGAACACTTAGCAACTGCTTAGCAATGTGCTCTAAAAAATCATTCAGAACAGGTAGAAACTGTACAGCAACACTAGGAATGTCCTTGTAATCACCCACAACAACGTAGCAACCACATAGCAACACCCTAGCAACCATCCAAACACCCCAGCAACCACATTGCAATGTGCTTAAAAGTATTTAGACACTTGCATAAAACACTGTACAGCGATACTAGAAATGCAACCACATTGCAAGACCCTAGCAATCACCCTGACACCCTTGCAACCTTAAACCAACCTTTTGTTTTTGTAAAACTGCTTAAAAGCATTAAAACACTTAACAACTGCATGCCAAGTAATCTGAACAGTTTTAAGCACATTGCAATGTGGTTGCTAGAGTGTTTAGCTGTTTGCTAGGGCGTTGCTACAGTGTTTCTAGTGTTGCTGTGCAGTTGCTAGGTTTTCTGAACGTTTTTAGACAATAGCTATGTGGTTTCCAGTGTTGCTGTGCAGTTGTTACCTGTTCTGAAAGATTTTAAGCACAATGCTGTGCAGTTGCTAGGGTCACTGCAAGGTGGTTGCCAGACACTACTATGTGGTTGCTAAGGTGTTCTGGATAGCTCCACCCTCAAATCTCTCTGATATTCTGGTCTCTAGATATGGCTCAGCAAACACTATATTTAACATATTATATTGACTTGGCTGAAAACACACACACATTAATCTTCAACACTCGGTGGCATTTAAAATCGATTCTGTTTAGTGCAAAACAAAAGACTAATAACATCAGCTATTAACCCTCAGCAGAAATGTCTTAAGTGTTAATGGGTGGTTAGGGAAATGTGATCATTTTTGTCAAACGCTTTTATGCATTTGTTTTCTAAACGTTTGCTGGAGGTGCCTGTTTTAATTGTTTTAATATGAGGCCTTTGAGACAAGTACATGATGTCTGACTGTAACAATGACCCTCTGATTATATAATGTGTTTTTGATCGCAGGTAATCAAAGGAATGACGCAGGAGCACTTCACATCGGCCCACCATAACGCCCACTGCTGCTGTTCAGACGAGTGGGAAACACCGCTGCAGGAGTGTGTGTGTGTGCGCGCCTCAACTCTTATTCAACATCTGTTGCTACGTAACCATGACTACATCGCCAAGACAACAGGGTTTCCATGCCTCTAACACACAGTCCAGACAGTTCTCAGACTCCTTTCTGAGTATTTCAGATTTCTTGGCTTGACGTTGTACTTCCGTTTCATACAACTGGCTAAAGATTATGAATGTTGAGCCCACATAGAAAAGAAAACTCACTTATAATATATCAAAAAGATCTACATTTTTCCACCTAGACAGCAATGAGATTAGGGAAACCAAACAGCAATTTTACATCGTCAAAATATTACTGTTTTTATTGTATTTTTACTGTATTTTACTGTATTTTTGATCAAATAAATGCAGCCTTGGTGAGCAGATGTCGTCGTTGAAATAAAAAAAGTCCTAAGTTTTGATCTGTAGTGAATATTTAAATATAGAGTTGATTTCCATTTATTTCTATATTTTAGTAGCCTGGCTAACGCCAGACCCAATCTCGTTGAGAATTGGGTCTGGGAACCACATGTTCATTTTCTCGTATTTGAGGCGTGGTTTACGAATGCCCAGAGCCGTTTATTGGGTGCTACGAATGTCTGTCAAATGCGCCTGTACGTAGCTCATAGCCAATCGTTTCTATTATACCAGATGACGTATGTAGAGCGACAGAAATTAGACGAGGGAGACGACGAAGGCCGGTGGGTCAGAGATTTATGTGTAGTCTACACGATGGCGTGTATCTAACGGCCGTTTCACACCGCATGCGTGAGCGGCGCGTATTTTTTCGGCGTGCATGTTAACCTGTTAAGCTTCAAGCCCACTATTGAAAAATCCCCAGAAATGACATACCCAAACTAAAACAGATACAGTTCATGAACCCTTTGCACTAAAAGCACAAGTATGATCTCATTTGAAAGCTGACACTTGGTTGTTTATTGTAAATGTAGAATTAATTATTGTCATAATGAAAAAAACAATTTTAAATAGCTTCAAAGTTTTGTAAAGTTATTAGAAATTTATTTTTATGAAACATCTTCATGAAAATAAAATTGAAGTTGGCCCTGGAGCAATCTAGAAATGCACTGCAGCTAAAGCCATATGTGTGACCATTTTATATTTAAAATCTGAAAATGATAAGTATAAAGCTCTGTATTTAGTTAAATGTTTTTCAAGATCATGTCAAATTACTTTATTTTGATTAGACTCTATTAGCAAACGGATGTTTAGTCATCTTCTGAGTCATCTATTCAGTCTATTGTCTCTATTGTTTTGTGGTGCCCCATTCAGTCTCAGTCTCCCCTGCACACATTTACACCTCTCCAGACTGGTTATTATGGCTCTAAATATGCATTTCTTTTGTCTGCATTATAGCTACTAACGACTGGCTATTCACAAGCTATTCATAGGGTTTCAAACCCTAATTTCTTTTATCAAAGTTCTCACTAAATATTTGAAACTGGTATCAAATGCACTGAAACATTTCAGTAAGCATTCCTATTTAGAAAAAAATCATAAAACAATAACTGCTCGTGGCAGGTGCGCCTGGGCTCGCTAGCATGTTAGCTTAGCACACCATCAATACACGACCATTTATGAGATTAAAACTATGTTTGCGCTCCAAACTCACTATATAACGCAAGTCTAGTGTTTTAAATAATCTTCTGTGATCTAACTTGGCTTCAGATAAAAAAAAAATCAGACAGAAAATGTATTATTTAGTGTTCTGAACGATGATGAAATCTATATCGATTAGCATTACATTATAAATATAATCTATTATTATGAAATACCTGGCATGGCTTGAAGAACACAGGTAACTCAAATATCATTGCAATCATGTTTATTGTCTTCAAAACATCTTTATCTGCATGTTACAGCGATCTCTGTACTTTCTGTATCACTCAGTGACGTCCTGGAATGTCACATGACTATGGGTCTTCTTCATGATCCATATATGGACTTTTATTGGACATAATAGCGCCCCCATGCTATTGGTATGAATGGAAAACACAGCACATCTCAGGAAGAAGCGATCATTATGATTACATCGACGCATTTGGGTATAAATTCAATAAATATTATTCCTGTCTATAGAAATATGATGTGAATCTATGAGAATATATCAATATTTCTCCACATCTGCACATTGTTGAGCTAAAAGCCCTCAGGGACGTTGTTTTGTGAATCGCTATCATGAGGACAGCACGGAGTGTTTTTTATGAATGGACCAGCTGACGCTCATAATTCATATTAAAGGTATCGACTCGTTTTTTTCATTTCATAACTCCTGACACAAATTAAGACATAACTGTCACTATAAGTTTCTCAGAATACAATAGTGGTCAAAT